ATTCTATGATTGATTAGATGGAATTAGCATTTGGAAGCTCCTCATACAAATGGCATGGGGCTGTGGAATGCAGCAAACACCAAGCCCTCATCCTGACTTAGTGTTAACCATTAACAGGTAGGAGATAATTACCTGGCAACTTCAAAAGTAAGTTTTGCCAGGAAAGTGTGCTTGTTACCAAAAACTTCCTCTAGCAGTCCCAGAGCTCCCTGCTCAGGACTAGTCTGTCTTCTCCACAGGATTATGAGGTTAGAATTGGAGGATTATGCCTGGCCTTCCCTTTCAAAAACTCCCAGAAAAAGGAAAGAGAAGACACAAGTCCAGGGACCAAGATTCTGAAGAAATAAGACTATAGGAAAAGCAGCTTTTTAAAAGATTAATGCTAATCTAATTACCACCACCACAAAATTGGGAATCCAAAACAAATCATAAAAGCAATAAGCCCATATTTCTGTACTTGTTTGCAAAATACTCTTTTCATAGTAACTTTTATGAGGTAGGCAATGCAAATATTATTTTCCCCATTTTGCAGATGAAGAACTTAAGTTGGAGAGTGGAAATGATTTTCCTGTTAATAGCTCACATTTCTCTAGTCCTTTAACAGTTCACAGAATCATAGGATTTAGAGCTGGAAAAGATCTTAAAGAGATCTAGCCCAACCCTCTGATTTTACAGAAGGGGAAACTGAGGCCCAGAGAAGGGAAGTATCATTCAGGTAACAGGGCTGGGATTCAAACCCAGTGTACTTTTCATTTCAACACATTGCCTCCTAACTTTACAGAGTACTTTTTTCATAACAACCCTGTGTTAAGAGGTGTTAAGAGAAGTACTTTTTTCATAACAACCCTGTGTTAAGAGGATTATTATCCCCATTTATCTAAAGATGAACCTAAGACCCAGAAGGGTTAAGGGACCAGCATTGCTTTTGGAGTTAAAGAGTCTGAGTTCAAATCCTGACTCTTCTGCTTACTACCTCTGGGCTTGGGATTCCTCATCTTTAAATGGAGAGGGACAGACTAGGGGGTGGGGAGCCTTTGGTCTCAAGGCCACATGTGGTCCTCTAGGTCCTCAAGTGAGGTCCTTTGACTGAATTCAGGCCACAAGTTCCTCACCCCTGAGAGAATCTTTAAGACCCCTCCCAGTTCTTAATTCTATTATTTGTGCAAGACCACAACTATCATGTATCAGAAATGAGGGCTCAACACCATGCCTCCTGAATCTCGTTGCAGGGCCCTTCTCTTTATTCCTTTATGTCTTCTTATCTGGGAATGCTCAGATTACTTGTAGTTATTCTCATTTTGTTATAATACAAAGCAGAAGCCTAATCTTTCTTCCATATGACACTTTATTTAAAGATAACTATCATGGTTCTTTTCTCAGCCCCTCAAATCTCCAAGCCAAATGTTTTGGTTCCTCCCAACATTCTTCACCTAGCATGATCTCAAAGTTCCTCACCATCCCAATTGCCTTCCTCTGGGCCCTCTCTAGCTTATTACTCTCCTTTCTCTCTCTCTTTCTCTCTTTTTTGCTAGGCAATGGGGTTATTACTCTCCTTTTTCAAACATAGCAGGCAGAACTGAACACAGCTTTCCAGATGAGTTCTGACCAAGGTAAAGAACAACAGTAAAGCTGTCATTGCCCAAATTATCCAACCTAAGGTTGAATTAAATTTGCTGACTGTCATGTTGAACAGAACTTGCAGTCCGCTAAGACCTCCAGATCTTCACAAGAACCAGGATTTTTTTGTTAACCTGACTGTAGGACTTTATAGTTACCACTATTAAATTTCATCTTATTTGACTTAGGCCATTTTTCTAGCCTATGGAGGTCTTTTGAGATCCTGGCTCCATCATTCAGTTAGCTATCCCCACAAGTTTTATTCCATGTACAAATCTGATACCATTTTCTAAGTTATTTATAACAAGATCAAATAAGCACAAAACCCAGAACAGAACTTTGGGGTACTCTTCACTGAAGACCTTCTTCCAAGTTGATATCTACCTTGGGACAGCTAGGCAGCTCAGTGGATAGAGTGATGAGCTTGGAGTCAGGGAGGCCTGAGTGCAAATCCAGCCTCAGACAGATACTTAGCTGTGTGACCCTGGACAAGTCACTTAACCACTGTCTGCCTCAGTTTCCTCAACTGTAAAATGGGAATAATAACAGTACCTACCTCACAAAGTTGTTAAGAGGATCAAATGAAATAATATTTGTAAAGTACTTAGCTCAGGGCCTTCCACCCTTCCCTCTCCTACCTCTGAAATTTTTAGGACTCATTCAACTAGGTCTGAATCCACCAGACTGTACTCACAAGTCTTTATCTTGTCCACAAGGTTAGCGTGAGAGACATTGCCAAATGCTTTGCTGAAATCAAGTCTACAATGCCTACAACATTTCTATAATGTATCAATCAAATAACCCTGATCAAAAAAAAAAAAGGAGGGATCATAGGAAGAAAACAAGTATTTATTAAGTCCCTGCTCTGTGCCAGGCACTATGCTAAGTGCTTTACAAATATTATTTCATTTAATTCCCACAGTGACTATAGGAGGTAGGTGCTATTATGTTCTCCATTTTGCAGTTGAGAAAACTGAGGCAAACATAAGGTAACTGACTTGCTCAGGGTCAAGCAGTTAGTGAGTATCTGAGTCTAGATTTGAATTCAAGGCTTCCTGACTGTAGACTCAGTGTTCTATCTACTGCACCACCTAGCTGCCTGCTGTAATCACAGGATCATAGGTTTAAAACAAGAAGAAACCTCAGCCATCAACCACTCCCTCATTTTACAGATGAGAAAACTGCTCCCATTTATAGCGGTAGACAATGGCAGATCTTGTGCTTTTCTTCTATACCATGCTGTTAGCATGTGAGTCTGGTCTGCCAAGACTTGTTCTTGGGGAATTCACACAGTTTCATTCTCATCACTGCTTCCCTTTCTAGATGTTCACAACCCATCCCTTTAATGTATATTTTAGGATTTTCCCAGGAAATGAAATCAAGCTCAGTGCCCTATAAATGACAAACTCTACTTTTTTCCTGGTTTTAGAAATTGGAATATTTGCCCATATTCAGTCCTGAAGCATAAATCCTGTTCTCCACAGCCTTTCAAAGATCTCTGCAGCTGGTTCAATAATTATACTGCTTCTTCCTTCAGTCCCCTGGGATGTAGTTCACTCAAATTCATCAAGGGCAGTCAAGCATTCTCTTACTATCTCCTTCCTTATCTTGGGCTCCAATTCCTTACAAATCATTTTCTAGTCCAAGATCATTTTTCTTAGCCGAGAAAAGAGAAGTGAAATGAGTTGAGTAGTTCTGCCTTCTCTCCATTATCCTTTATCTTTGTTCCAACTCTCCTGAATAGCTGTCTTATCTTTTCTTGGCTTCCTTCCTTTTTTTTCTTTTTTGGCGAAACAATTAGGGATTAAGTGACTTGCCCAGGGTCACAAAGCTAATAAGTATCAAATATCTGAGGCCAGATTTGAACTCAGGTCTTCCTGACTCCAGAGCTGGTGCTCTATCTGCTGCACCATCTAGTCCCAGGCTTCTTCTCTCTTTTGTCCAATAGAACTAAAATGCCATACTCATGGTAACGTCAGCATGTTCTTGGCACTCTTCTTACAAGACCCTGGAGCACTTTGATTCTATTACCTATACTTTCTCCTACCACCTTTATATCCTCCTTAAAGTCTGCATTGATCTCTATGGACCATCGCTTCTTAAACTGTGGATTTCGACCCAGCATGGGTTTGCGTAACTGAATATGAGGGTCACGAAACATTTGGCAATAGTAACGCACAATGACCAAAAATTAATCCAAAATCAAATGTGTAATGAATCTGAGGTGTTTCTGGCAGCACTTGCTTGTGTTGCCTGTGCACAACTTCACTGCAGCCTTGGTTCTGAGCGCACAACATGCGCACTTTGCACTGTGCATGCCGTCACACAATGCAACACAACAGGAATGCTGCCAGAAACACCTCGGCTCAGGTTCAAGACTGTTGTATGTTATGAATTGCGGTATTTTTAGTGTGCCTACAAAATTGTTAAATGAATTTTAGCTTGGGATTAGGACAGAATTTGCAGCAATTTCTGAAATGGCCCTAAACATACTTCTGCCATTTTGTACTATGTATTTATGTGAAGCGGCGTTATCAACATTGACAATTATAAAATCAAAATTCAATCAACTTTGAAAAACGTGGAAGATGTTCTGCGTCCTTCAGTATCAAATATTCCACCAAGACTTAATTATTTATGTGAAAATAAACAAGCATATCCATCTCATTAATATGTAAATTGGCTTTCATCTTTGATAAATGGTAAAATTATGTTTATATCAAGGAATTATAATTTGTATACTTATTTTACATATCTGTATACCCGGGGACATGTAAAAATTTCTCGGGCAAAAAAAAAATTTCTCGGGCAAAAAGGGGTTGCGAATGGAAAAAGTTTAAAAAGCCCTGCTATAGACAACACCCTCTTTCCTTCCTCATTAGAGTTGTTTGTTTGTTTCTGCTTTCAGAACTTCATTCTTGAGAGCTTCCCATCCCCTTTGGACTGACTTCCCCTGTTGAATTTTTGGCAGTGGGCTCCTACCTAGCTTTCTCCAAATGCTTTGAAATCTATTCTCTGAAAATCTAGAATGCCTGTCAGACTATCCTTGCATCTCCTCTCTTCCTGTATCAGAGATTTTAAGATGAAGTGAGTGGTAACTTCCCTGCAAGGTGGTCAATATTTCTAATTCAGCAGCTGATTCCTTCTTGTTGGTGAGAATCGGGTCCAGGATAAGTCTAGTTGTTACTTCCTTCACTTCCCATAAAAGGGAAATTTTTCCACTTAAGAGAGGAGGAAGCCTTCAACTTCAATAATGTTGGTGGTCCCTATAACTCATATGCCTACTCTGCCTATCAGTTAAATGGGCACTTCTCTCCCAGTGCCCAGTCTATCTTTGGGCCTTCTCTCCAGGGACCTCTGTTCTGCTACTTCCCCCACCCCAGGTATTCGGTGATACAGAACAGGTTCAGATGACGTCTGAGGGCTCTGACTGCCGCTGCAAGTGCATCCTGAGACCCCTGAGCAAAGACGCCTGCAGCCGAGTCCGAAGTGGGAGTATGAGAGTGGAGGACTTCTACACAGTGGAAACTGTGAGCTCTGGGGCTGATTGCCGCTGCTCCTGTACCGCACCCCCTTCCTCTCTCAACCCCTGCGAGAATGAATGGAAGATGGAAAAGATCAAGAAACAAGCACCTGAACTCTTCAAGGTATGTGGGGTGGGGCTGAGCAGGTACTCACTCCAGGGATGGGGAAGCAGCCACAGTAGCTGGTGGTGGAAAGGCTGGAAGGGAGGCAGGCCCAGGGGCCAGATTCACATCATTGCAGGACCTGTAGGGGGAACCCCCTGATACTCGGCAGTAAGTCATCACAAAAAACATGACTTCTCATACTCAATCAAAATGGCAAGTTACTGTTCCAGCATAAAGTCACAGTCTCAACAAATTACCTGATCTCTAATCTCAGTGAATTGTAGAATCAATCCCCACTGTGGTTTCAATATATCACAGGTAGGCATAAGAAATTAAATGGGAATTTTTTAGGAGTTTGTTGGAAGCTACAGACAACACACAAAGGCCAGCAAATGACACAGAAAAAGTTTAGAAACTTGGAAATGCATAAAACACATGTATGGTATTGTATAATATCAACCCAAATTTTACAAGAAGGTACTGTAAATACCCCATGAAAGAAAAAGAAAAAACTCAGTTCTTTTCTGGTACAAAGGGAGGGTGAAAAAATTTTACACAGATTTTCCAAATCGTGGGGGCGCTGTGTCCCTAACCCTCACAATGTGGAATGGATAACTGTAATGAAAATTACAACTGAAATGGACCTTGACTGTAGAATGTTAAACTTGAAATAAGACTGTAGAACATGGGATGTTAGGAAAGAAAACATGGAATAGGACCTTAGAACATAGAATGGGACTCTAGGGGTTACCTAATCCTACTCCTTCATTTTGCAGATAAAGAAACTGAGGCCCAGAGAGAGGAAGAGATTTGTCCAGAGCTATACAGTTAATTAAGATTGGGGATCAGAATACAGGCCTTCTTACTCCTAGTTCATTGTTCTTTCTTCTCTATCTACTAGCAGCACATGGGTTTCAATGTCTGTCCAAGAAATTCCAGGGAGTCACTTGCGCATTCTTTTTGTTTAGGGTTTTGGCAGAACTCTGCTCTTCACTTCTGTCTTCCTTCCAGACTCTTAGTAAGGGTGTTTCTCCAGGTCCTAGATCTCAGGCCCTCTTTTTAGAGGTGGGGGGGGAGAGGAATGAGTCAGATTCTAGCCTCAGAAAACTGAGCCAGGGAGCTGAGGATCAGCTCTGTCCCTTGGGGCCTAAATAAAGTATAAGAGTCGAACCCATGTTTCCTGTGTGCATTGGTTGAGGGGAGGGATATATGTGATTGAGGCTGGCGATTTAGGAGGCTTCCAGAGAAGGGGAAACAAATGTCACAAGATGGCAGATGTTAGTGAGGGTAGAGTTCAAAAGACTGAGGAATAATCATTGTCCACATGGTGCTTTGGAAAAATGGTGGGATGGGGTGGGTATACATCAAGGAAGGTGGAAAGATAGGTGAAGAACCAATGGAAAATAGGGAAGAACTGGGGGAATGGAATATTTGCAGGGATGGGGGCAGAAGAGAGAGGAGAGGAGTTAGGAGCAGCTCTTTCTGCAGCCATGGCCTTTGATGTCCCTCCCCCCAACAAGAGCTGTTTTGTGTGATAACCTCTCCCTACAAGTCCTTTGGCTTCTCATGCCAGCCCTTCCACCCCCTTCTAAGGGAGCAGTGACTTCAGTTAAAGGTCAATCAGGACAATGTCCTGGGTGTGTGCTTTTTGTCTCATCATTTTTCCAGTTTGGTGTGGGGAGGAGACCTGAGACATAGAATCAATGAGGGAAAGGGTGTGGGCTTTGTTTCCCTCTTTGCTCCCAGATCAAGTAAAGTAACATCAAACACATATGGGAAGGAGCCAGCTTTCCAGGCAGGAAGGGGGCATAGGACCATGAGAAGAGAGGGGAATTTAAAGCAGTAAGAGTCCTCAGGAACTGTCCCAAGGCCTCAAGGCAGGGGAGTGGGCTCTGAGGAGGGGCACCCCAGCCCACCAAACATAAGAAACTTCCAGCTTTAGGCTCTTGTGAGGGGTTGTTTTTTGTTTGTTGGTTTGGTTTTTTTTGACCCTCATGCACTGTTGGGCAAAAGTAACCTTAGAATGTGGACTTTCAGAACTAGAATAGTTCTTAGAACATAGAATGCAATGACTAGAAAGGGCCTTAAAACAGAATTTTACGGTTGGAAGGAAACAACATAGAATGTTAGGACATAAAGGACTATAGACCATCAGTTGTTAGAACTGGGAGAACCTTTGGGACATTGACCATCCAGGCTAGCAGGGGGCTTAGAGCTAGAAGGTATCCTAAATCACAAATTGTTAGACTTGGAAGGAACCCCAGAATGGAACATGTTAAGGGTGAAAGAAGGTTGAAAGGGGACTTATAACCCAAACTATGAAGACTGAAGGAACTTGAGAACATAGACCATGAGCTAGAAGGCCCCTTAGAACACAGAATGTGAGGGCTAGAAGGGACCTTAAAATATAGAAATTGTTAATGCTACAAAGGTCCTTAGAATATAGAGTATAGTCCTTAGATCATAGAATGTGAGCATTGGAGGGGACCTTAGAACATAGAATGTCAGGGCTGGAAGGGGCCTTGGAACAGAATGTCAGGGCTGGAGGGGACCTTAGAACATAAAGTGTAATAGCTTTAAGGTAATAAGAAGAGACCTTAGACGAATGTTAGGATTGAAAAGTACTTTAGAACATAGTACTTGAAGGGACTTGCCAAAACCGAAAGGAACCTTAGTCTAATAACATCATTTAAAGAGAAGGAAACTAGAGTTCAAGGATGGAGGAATGACTTGCTCAGGATCACACTGTGAGCTGGTGGCAAACTCCAGACTGGAACCCAGGTTTGCTGAGTCCTGGTCCAATGTTCTTTCCACTACACCAATTTTCCTTGAAACCACAGTATCAAAGAGACCAAGTATGGGAAGTGTAGATCTCAGAAGTCACCTAGCCCAATCCCCTACCCAATGTATATCTCTCTGTTACAAAATCCAGCCTCTGCTTGAATCCCCTGTGGTGGGGAACTCACTGTCTTTTGAGGCAAGCCTTTCCAATGTTGGAGAGCTCTAATTGTTAGGAGGTTCTTTCCTATTTCATGCTGAACTCTGCCTCCTTATAACTTCCTCTGATTGCTTCCAGTTCAGCACCTGGAGCTAACCAGAATAAATCAAATCCCTCTTTCCCATGACGGCTGTTCAGATAGTTGAAGTAGATTCTTGATGGAAACTAATCCTTGTTCAACAGCAATGGAGCCTTAGTTGCTGAGAAGTTGAAACTGATGGAAATACTTAGTAGAGCTCTCCCTCGTTGCTGTCAGAGCTCCCTGAGCCATAGGTCATCTGACCCAACCCCTAGCTGGAGTGTGAATCCTCTCTACACCATCTCCAACAAATGTTCATCCAACTTCTGTTCACATACTTCCATAGACAGGGAGCTCACTATCTTCCAACACTGTTTGGGGCCCCAGGTGGGGGTCTGGATGTGAAGTCTGGAGATTTGGAGGAAAACTGTGGCCTTTTTTCTTTATAGCTCCAGTCCATGGTCGACCTCCTGGAAGGGACATTATACAGTATGGACCTGATGAAAGTCCACGCCTACATCAACAAAGTGGCCTCTCAGATGAATGCCCTGGAAGAGGTGAGATGGTCTGACTCCTCCAAGATGGTAACAGGGCTTGGGATTAATGACTGGAGTAGAAGCAAAATTCTATATTGGTTCAAATACAGGGTACACTGTACCCCTAAATCTTGTTTGTATGAACTCCAGGCCACCAGGAAAAAAAGGCTGTGTTCCCTTCCATACCTTCTCCTTTTTAGGGCATCTAGAGCAAAAGGAAAGAACCAGCAACAGCTCCATCTCTACCATTCAGGGGTCCAAACAAATGGAACCAAGTGCTTCCTGGGCCAGCCTTAATCCTTTCAGAACCAAAATGGAGATTTGGTGGAAAGAGGGAGTGCCTTAGAGTCAAGAGACTTAATTTTGCTTCCCTAACATAGTATCTGGCATGTAAAAGGTGCTTAATAAATGTTTGTGGAGTGAATGAATGAATTCAAATCCTAACTCTGTCATTTCCTAGCTGTGTGACCTTGGACAAGTCACTTCCTTTCCTTTAGCTTCAGTTTCTTCATCTGGAAAAATGGTAATAACAATCCTTGCCCTCTCTACCTTTTGCTATTTGACTGTTCAAATATGACACAAATATGAGTTGTTCTAACTCCTCTTTGCTTCATTACTCCAAAAGCTGCCTCTAGTCTAGGCAGCCTCCTGACCTAGGGGAAATTATGAGACAAAGAACATCCATAGACAACTCTTCATTAATATTGTTGTTAGAGACTGCCTGGAGGAATGAAAAGAGAACTGAACTTAGAGTCTGGAGTCCTGGTTTATGGGCCTAGATCTAATACTTACCTGCTGCATGACTTTGATATTCCTCTCTATGGGCCTTAATTTCCCCAAACTGGGCTCAATAATGCCGAAACTATCTACCTCCAGATGTAGCTTTGAGGTTAAGGTGAGAGAAGGTGAATGAAATGCTCTGTAAATAGTAAATAATAACCAAACTAACAATTATAGCATTTGTATAGGGCTTTGTAAAGCACCCAGTGTATGTGGATTTGTATTACTGGCAATGAGCCCAAGGCTCCGTTCACAATAGTGAATAGTTAATAAGTGTTTGTAAGTGAATGTAATTGAGCCTCATTTTCCTCACCCATACAGTGTGTGTAGTCATTCTTGCACTCCTCTGGACCGTGGAGATGAAAGCACTCTGTAAATATAAAATACGAGCAGTTATTATTATCTTCCATCTTTCCTGGCTGGGTCTCTAGGCCCCCTCTACCCGAACCTACCCCCCAGAGCTTCGGCTGGGAAAAGGCCCCTGTCCCTTCAGGCTTCCTGCCCCTGCCTCCAGTCTGTGTCCCGCCTTCTTTGTCTCTTAGTTCCCTCAGACTCTTCCAACTTCGGTGTGGGCATCTTTCACCTTCCCCTTTGGTGCATCTAAGAGAGAAGCTGGATTTGTCAATACTTAATAATGATTAACATGCCCATTTACATAGTTCCCATGTCTCATCTCATTTGAGCCTTGAGACGACTCTGTGAAGTATACCAGTATTGCAGGTCTCATTGTCCCCATTTAGCAGATGAAGAAACTGAAATCCAGAGAGTGGCAAAGCTGGTGGAATGTCCACTTTGGTATTATTAGTAGTAATCTTATAATAATAGCTGGGCAGCTAGGTGGTGCAGTGGGTAGAGCACCAGCCTGGAGTCAGAAAGACTTATGTTTGTGAGTTCAAGTCCAGCCTCAGACACTTCCTAGCTCTGGGACCCTGGGCAAATCAGTTTTCTCATCTTCAAAATGAGCTGGAGGAGGAAGTGGCAAACCATTGCAGCATCTTGACCAAGAAAACCCCAGAAGGGGTCACGAAGAGTCAGACATGACTCAACAACAATAATAATAATATAGTGTTTAGAGTTTGCAAAGCGCATTACAGATATTATTTCATTTTATCCTCAGAACAACTCTGGGAGACAGGTACTATTATTGTCCCCATTTTACATATGGGGAAACAGATACAGACAGGTTAAGTGATTTGCTAAGAATTACTAGACTAGTATCTGAGGCAGCATTTGAACTCAGGTCCTCTTTGATTCCAAGTCCAATATTCTATCCAATGTACCACCCAGCTGCCTCCAGCTAGGTGATAGGCCCAGCTGAGAACCTAGGCTTCTTGATTATCAAGTCAAGACCCTTAACTACATTTTTTAGCTATGAAAAAAAAATTACATCCTGTTATTTAAAAAAAAAAGGAAAAAAGGGAGGAGGGAAGGAAGGAGGGAAGGAGAGAAGGGAGGAGGGAGGGAAGGAAGGAAAGAAGAAAGGAAGGAAGAGAGGAAGGAAGGAAGGAAGGAAGAAAAGATGTCATACGGTTGAGGGAGTCTCATAACTCACATCGTAATAATATAATGTGTACAATAGTGGTGGCTGACATGTGGAACTTTATGATAGAACTATAGACAAGGAACTGGGAGGGAATTTAGGGGTCATCTAGTCTAAAGAGGTCACCCTCTCATTTTTTAGATGAATAAACTGAATTTTAAGGAAGTTAAGTGACTTGCCCAAGGTCACGGAGGAGGAATTTGAACCCAACTCCTCTGACTCCAAATCAGCAGTCACCCTTCAGCTCCCTGCTGCTTCTGGTGATGCTCCCTAGCCTCCAGCCATGGAATATCATGGTCTGTGAAGAATCAACGTTGACTTTATCCAGTCTATTAGCAAAAAGCACATGATAATGGCTGCATAGAATCCTTACAACAACCTCAGGAAGCAGAAAATCAGAAAACCTGGGTGTGAGTCCGAACTCTGCCACTAACTTGTGTGATCCTGGGCAAGTCACTTTGGTACATGTCTGCTCACTTAATCTCGGTCTCCCCATGTATAAAGTGAAGAGAATGAAATACACACTGCTTTTCTCCCAGAGATGTTGTAGAGTCAGCTGAGGTACATATGTGGAAAGCAGCCCACAAAAGTATCATTTCCCCATTTTTCAGATGAGGAAAATGAGGCTCCGAGCAGTAAAATGACTTTCCTAAGGTTACATGGCTAGTAAGTGACAGGGTGAAGACTTGAACTCAGGTCTTACAACCTTACTCCAGTTCCTGTGCTCTCTCTGCTTCACAGCACCCTGCAGTGGTGGACAGGAGGAAAGCAGATGAGGAGTAAAGAGAGATGCTGGGCTGTAACGATAGTAATTACAACACCACTAGAGGGCTTTATTGCTGTTCTTTAGTCATGTCCTACTCTTCGTGACCCCATTTGGGGGTTTCTTGGCCAAGATACTGGAGTGGTTTGCCCTTTGCTTCTCCAGCTCATTTTACAGATGAGGAACCTGAGGCAAACAGAGTTAAGTGACTTGTCTAGGGTGACACAGCTAGTTAGTATCTGGATTTGAACTCAGATCCTACTGACTCCAGGGCTGGCACTCTATTCACTGGGGCCACCTAGGACTTACAAATATCACTTTCCTCACAGTAGTCCTGGGAGAGAGAAAGTATAAGGATTACTATTTCCATTATACAGATCGATAAACTGAGGTTCAGAAGGGAAGTGACCTGTCCAAGGTCATGCAGCTACTACTAGATCTAGGACTTGAAACCAGAAGCTTCTACTCAAGAGTTCAATGTTCTTTCTACAACAGTGTTATGCTTCTTGTCCCTGTCCCTTGCAGACCATTAAGACAAACCTTAGCCGGGAGAATGATTTCATGAAAGAAAGCGTGGCCCACCTGACCCACCAGATGAAGCGTTATGAGAACTACTCAGACATCATGATGAGTATTAAGAAGGAGATTTCCAGCCTGGGCTACCAGTTGCTACAGAAGGATGCAGCTGCTGGTCCTGAGAGCAAAGCCCAGGTAAGCCAGAGCCATGGATTATATTAATCATGAGAACAGCCCATGTTACTAGAATGCTCTCCAGTTGGCAAGTTGATTCGTTACAAAAACCCCATGAGGTAAGTCATGCAAATGGATTATTATCCCTGTTTTACACATGAAGAAACTGAGGAAGTCACTTGCCTAAGGTCACACAATGAGGTATCTCTTCTTGGCTACTCCCCTAAACTTTTGGTGCCAGTTAGAGTCTCCAAAGGTGACTGACTACTTCTCTCACAAGGTTCTAGGGGTAACTCTGAGGGGTTATGCTTCTAGTACCATTGCTCCTGAGCCCCCACCATTCTCTTTCCTATTAACAATCAACCAAACAGGATTAATTCAATTAATCAAATTACTTAATTAAAGCTTAAAGCTTTAAGCAAAAGCATCTACTAAGATGCCATATTAAGAACAGTTGGTATAAAAGATTCTTCCCCAAAGCACACTCTCTCACAGATACAGGAGCATGGGAAGAAGCAGCTCACACTGAGAGGCCAGTGGGAGTCAGGCACACATAGACCAGCTGATCCCTAAGGTACAAAAGTGCCAAAGGGTAACTCCTAACTTCTGGCACTCTGTGCCAGAAGTCCTTTCTTTAGTCCAGAGCTAGCATTCATCTTTGATGCAAAGGGCTGTGCTCCTCAAAGCTTCCTTCCTCCTCTGGTGACCATCTTTCCACCTCTGCTTGTCCTCAACAGGTCACTCAGTTGGTTGTGTTGTCTCCTACCAGTCCAGTATCTCTGATCCTAGCTGGACACATTGATTGCTACTGCTCCAATCTCTCCAATTAAACTGGTGGGAGGGGGAAGAGGAGACTCTTTTCTTCCCCCAACCCCAAGAGTGATTCCCTCTCAGAGGCTTTACTTTGGAACTGGAATCTTCAGCTCCATAATCTGAAATCCTCCACCATTGAACTGGCCTTCTACTGTATGATGCATAGGGGAAGGAAAGGGAATAAACATTTGCACAATATGTACTACTGGCCAGGCACAGTGTTAAAGTGCTTTACCAGTTAAAACAGTATTGCAAGGTGCTGTTATTATCCCCATTTTCTCACTCAACATGACCCCCACTGGGATTTTCTTGGCAAAGATACTAGAGTGGTTTGCTATTTCCTTCTCTAGCTCATTTTATAGATGAGCAACTGAGGCAAATGGATGAGTGACTTGCCCAGGGTCACACAGCTAGTATATGTGCAAGACTGAATTTGAATTTAGGAAGGTGAGTCTTCCTGACTCCAGGCCGGGCACTCTATCCACTGTACCACCTAGATGTCCTATGCATATGTGTGTATACATATATATGTGTAGATAGATAGATAGATAGATAGATAGATAGATAGATAGATAGATAGATAGATAGATAGATAGATAGATGAGTCTTCCTGATACAGCAATTTTTTAGGTGCTGTTATCCCTATTTACACTTGAGCAAACTGATGCAAATAGAAGTTGTGACTTTCCCACAGCTAGTAAGTATCTGAGGCTGGATTTGAATTCAGGTCTTCCTGACTCCAAGCCCAGAACTCTATCCATTGAGCTGCCTCCGAGCATAGCCTCAGAGACATGTCTGATTCTTTCAGCCATCCACAAGATATCTCCTATGTGGCTTCATCTGCCTTCATCAAATGGCCAAAGCTCTATAATCCTGTGAAGCTGATTAAAAAGACTTATTTGCACATTGTGGTAAAGTCTTAGAAAAATTCCTTAACAAGTAGTTTGCTCTGTTGGTTGGCTGACTGATTCAGGTTGAAAGACTAGATAGAGAAGAGATTCCTCCTTAGGTCCAAATTAGACGAGCTGTTTCATCAGGGTTCTTCCAACTCCGGGATTCTGGGATTATTAGTAGTATCATTAACGACCATAATGTATTACATATGAAATGCGGACATTTAAAATAAACATCAAATGAAAGCCACACGTTGCCTTGGAAAAAAGACAATTGACATGATTGGGAATTGGATTATATATGTAGTATTTGTCATATCACCAAGAGATTTCATAGATTTTAAATTGTGGGATCTAGAAACATTGAATATCTGAGTTAGAATGGACCCCTCAGAAGATCATAGAATGTTAGGAGTGGAATTAGCTTAGGGATAAGCTAGTCTAAATCCTTCAATTTAAAACAAATTTCTTCATGCAAGTTTTATTTAGGACTTCCTTAAACAAATGGCAAAGAAGCTTGGTTTCTTCTCCATGGCAAATGATTTGATCGAAGCCATCCAAAGAATTAATGGCATAGCCAGGACTTGAACCCAGATCTCTGGACTCCCAGTTTGGCGTGCTTTCTACTGTGATTCTTCCCTGATCTGCTACAACAATAGATTACATAATGGACTTGGCCAATAGGGCCCCCATGCTGTTATAGTGAGTTAACACCAGAGTCATCTGAGCTGTAATAAAAATAACATTATTCATCCTCATAATAATAATCGGGAACAAGCTCTCCAAATGCCTATACACTAGAATCTGCTCCTAGGAATGGAAGAATGAGGTCATGTTGTTCATTTGTTTGAGTTGTGTCAGACTCTTCATGACCCCATTTGGGATTTTCTTGGCAAAGATACTGGAGTGGTTTGCCATTTCCTTCTCCAGCTCATTTTACAGATGAGGAAATGAAGGCAAACAGGGTTAAGTGACTTGCCCAGGGTCACACAGCTAGGCAGTGTCTGAGGCTGGATTTGAACTGAGGAAGATGAGTCTTCCTAACTCCAGGGCTGGCACCCTATCCATTGTGCCACCTGGCTGCCCCCAATAAGGTTATAATAACCAGTAAAAGATTGAGCTTGGAGAGAGAAAGAATCACGGAATGTCAGACTTGGAAGAAATTTGGGATTATAGAATGCAAGCTGGTGGGGCAGCTAGGTGGCACAATGGAGAAAGCACAAGCCCTGGAGTCAGGAGGACCTGAGTTCAAATCTGACCTCAGACACTTGACACTTACTAACTGTGTGACCCTGGGCAAGTCACTTAACCCCATTGCCTAGCCAAAAAAAAAAAGTAAGCTGGTATCTAACTTTGAAGTATAGAATGACCTGGAAGGGACATTAGAACAAAGAACATAGGATGTTAGAGCTGGAAGAGACTTTAGAGGTCAACTTAAACCAACCCTATAATTTTACAGATGAAGAAACTGAGGGCCACAGAGAAGTGACTTACCTATGATCATACAACTAGCAAATTACACAACCAGTCTCCTGACTTCCACACCCAGTTACTCTTTGTGCTCCTTCAAGGACAATGAGAATTGTTACATGGGCATTGACTTGACTACTAGAAATCTGTTCTCCCAATTCCAAACCTCAGATAGCGTCAGAAGTGGCCCCCAGCAGTTCTAGGAGTCTTTTTTCCTCTTTCTTTCCTAGGAAACAGCTGGTGGAAAAGGCAGAGAAGCCAGCAAATATTCTGGAGTCAAGAAAAACTTTGGGGACAAGGCTGTCCCAAGGCCTCCCAAAGACAAGCTTCTGAAGGTGGAGAAAGTGAGGAAAGACACCGTGAAGGGCAAAGCCCTGCAGGCCACAGCTAGGCCCCGGGTCCTCCCACACCAGCAAGCAGTGATCCGAGGCATCACCTACTACAAATCCACAAAGCAGGAAGACGTGGAGAATGCAGCTGGTAAGTGTCTTGAGAAGGAGGATTCAGATTTTTCTCTGATGCAAATAACAATAACATTAGCAGATTGGTGAGCTGTCCTTGAATGTTGGAGCTTCTAGGGATGGGGTGGGGACAGGATGGCAAGGGAAATAAAATATGGAATGTGTGATCATAAAATTGACATAGAATGACAGAGTAGAAAGGGAATTTTAGAAAATAGGATGTTAGGGGGCAGCTAGGTGGTGCAATGGATAGAGCACTGGCCTGGAGTCAGGAGGACCTGAGTTCAAATCCAGCCTCAGACACTTACTAGCTATGTGACCCCGAGCAAGTCACTTAACTCCAATTGCCTAAAAAAAAAAAACCCAGAAAAACAAAGAAAGAAAATAGGATGTTAGAACTGGTAGGGACCTGAGAACATAGAATTTGATCATATATACCTTAGAATATTCAGGAAGAGACCTTAAATTGTCAATGTTTAAACTGAGCCTGTGGTCAAGAGACTAGTTAGAATGTCTGAGGATTTCTCTGCTGCTGCTCCTACCACCCATAATTCATACAATGGCAGGACTTCCTCAGCGTCAGGTGCTCCCTTCTGCCCAGCTCAACCGAGAAAGAGCCGCAACATGGCTCCATGTCCCCATATTTATTCCTTCCCTGACTTTGCCCAAAAAAAGGCACACAGCAGACGAACAGCTGCAGGAATCTGACTTGGCCCACAAGACCTGTGGGAACCACGGCTTTCTCTCTGGCCAGCCGCCCAAGACCCGCCCACCCTCTCCCTCCCGTGTTGCCGGGCTGGCCAGGCCAATGGCAAGGACTCTGAAAAGGGATGCAAGGCCCTAATGTCCACCTTCCCTTCTGGCTGGGAGCAGCTCCAGGGCCAGGCCTGATGTGTGAACAGGAAGAAGGTAAGGAAATGCTGATGTGACCTTGAGAACACATCAAAGGCAGGGGAGGCTAGGGGAAGAACCTGGTCTAGACAAGGCTGACTTCCCCTTCCCCACTGTCACCCCAGCACCCCTGGATCCAGCCCTTGTTTCTGCTGTACAATGAAGGGTGAGGTGAAATGATTTCTAAGGTCCCTTTGAGCTTTCACATTCTACGTTCCAGCATTTTGGATTCGTAAAGTATAATGGAAAATACTCTGGACTTAGGACTAGGAGACCAAGGTTCATATCCTGGCTCTGGGACAAGATACTGCAGCTCTCAGCCTCAGTTTCCTCTTCAGTTAAATAAGGATAATACTTGTATTGTCTCTCTCGTGTTGTTTTGAGAAAAGTTCTTGGTAGAGTTTAAGCTATTAGCTTGACACACGTATGTATGAGTGTATATATGCATATATACACATGTATATTTAGATACACACATTTTTGTTGTTTAGTCATTTCAGTCATGTCCAACTCTTCATGACCCAATTTGAGGGTTTTTTTGGCAAAGATACTGGAGTGGTTTGCCATTTCCTTAGATAAGGAAACTGAGGCAAACAGTTGACGAGGGTCACATGGCTAGTGTCTAAGGCTAGATTTGAACTCAGGAAGACATGTGTATGTAATTTATTGTTCCAAAGTCCTTTCCATCACTGGGATTCTATGTTCTAACACTATCCTTCTTTCATCCTACATTTTCTTCACTTGATTTAAGGTGAATCACCATAATTCACCCTTGCCTCCCTTCCCAAAGATGAGCTGGGTACAAGACGGTAACTCTAGAGTGGGAGGAGACCTAAGAGGCCATCTAGGCAGGGGCATGCTGATGAATGTTTAGCAGCAGTGGTGGGAGGTGGAAGGGGAGGAGAGGGATATGTGTACAGGACACACTTTCACGTTTATCTGCATCATTAACACTTTCTTAAGTCTAGATAATTAACAAAACAATAGATCAAGCCTTGGTTGGTAGTGCTTTGTAAGTTCTGATCTCTCAGGTGTAAATGCTCACAGTGAAAATCAGCTTTCTGTTTCAAGCTGACTCCAAAGGCCCAACCCCCTCATTTTTTAGTTAAGGAAACTGAGAAGTTAAGTGGCTTGCCAAGGTCACAAAAGTAATAAGTGGCATAGCTGGTATTTTAATTCAATTATGGGTCTCTAAGAGACAGATCTGACTGATTGTGAGCCACTTAATCCCTCTGAGACTCAATTTCCTAACCCATAAAATGGGAATAACATACGATCTTCCTCGCAGGGGTGTTGTGGGGGAGAAAAAGTGCCGTGTAGACTTTAAAGTCCTACAGAAATGTTATTATTATCCCTTATTATTAGGCATCCAGCTGCTTACATCTGTGCCTCAGAATTGAAGATTTGCAGAATTGTGGGGGAGAAGTTATAGGTGAGGAATGTGGGGATGGGATAAAAGGGGATGCTGTGGTTAGCTGCGTGTGGTGTTTGACCATCACTCTGAGAGCCTGATGGGGAGCAGGGGTTAAGTTAGTGCTTGGAGGCCAAGGCTGGTTTGTTTCTATGGTTTGGGGCCACAGCCTAGGGATAAAGAGGGATGCTGTGGTCACTTTGTGTGTTGTTTGACCAAGGTTGGTTTGGCTCTGTAGTTTTTGGCTACAGGCCAAGGAAAAGTCAGCCAGATTCTAGGCTGATTGGGATTACACTGGGGGTTTGAACTCTGCCATAAATGAATTGCAAAAGGCCCCTCCCCCCGCAAAAAAAAAAGAAAGAAAAGAAAAGGTGAGGGGACCTCTCTTTTCTAGAACCAGGCTAGTCTTGCCAATAAGCAAGGGTTAAAACTTTTCAAAACCAAATCAGATAATCCCCAGGGAGAAATTAAGTAGGATGGTGTAGTAGAAGCAACATTGGACTGGTACTCAATTCATGAAGCACAGGATCCAGCCACTTCTGCTATCTAAATTGTCCAATGAAAAGGTTGGATTACATGACCTCTAAAATCCTTTCTAACTGTAACACTCTATGTTCTTTCCAACCTTAAGATTCTACATTCTAACTTTCTATGTTTTGAGGTCTTTTACTGCCCTAACATTCTGTATTCCAGGGTCCATTCCAGCACTGATATTTTATGTCCCAAGGTCACTTCCAGTTCTAGCATTCTCTGAGTTTATGAGTTATTGTCCTAAGTGACCCCCTTCATTTTCCCTGTATATTTTTTCTGTAACCCACCCACAGCTACAGTATTGAGAGGCAGGGCTAGTAAGGAGCCTTTGTCCTGCTGCCAAGTTGTCTCAAGTGACCTTTTTAGTGAGAGGGAGTGGATGTCTTGACTCTTAGGGAGAGGGACCCGTGTGATTGATGTTTGGTGGCAGGGTCGGGAATAATATTGTCTCCCTGGGAGCCAGGGTACAGAGCAGGCGGCTTTGGCACCTTTAACCCCCGTAGCAAACAAAGTCAAGGTAACAAAAAGGAAGCATGTAGGGGGAAAGGAGTAGAACAAAAGGGAGAAGAGACGAAGGGGGAGTAGCAGGGTGTAAAGATGGAAGCAGGCTCAGGACCCTGAGGATCAGGGAGTGTTAGACCCTAGAACATAGAACATCAGAGGCAGAAGGGACCTGAGAGCAGAGGATGTCCGAGCTGGAAGGGACATAAGACTATAACATGGTGAAACATAAAGCCTGGATTATGAGAGCCAGGAGAGACCCTAGAGATCACCTTTCACTTTTCAGATAAGAAAACTGGAGCCCAGAGAGAACAAGTGAGTTGGATAATGTCACATAAAGTCCATGGTCAAGCCAGGACTCAAACCCAGGTCTCTTCCACAGTTCTTTCTACTCCCACATTCCTTTAGTCCAAACCAAAATGAGGCGCCTCTCTCAGAAAAGACTCAGTTTACCTCAAAGTCAGTATGTTCCGAATGGTCTTGATAACCTCCTCCCAAGGCTGCATCTTCTCTTGATTTCTTGCTTTCTGTCAGGGCTCCCATCACTCATCCATCCTCTTGCATTTGAAACCTGTTGGTTATCTACTTTTTTCTTCACCTCTCATGTCCAATTACTTGCTAAATCACTTCAGTTCTAATTCTATAACATCTCTCTCTCTTCCTCGTTGAAGAAAGACTCAGAGGTAGGAAAAAGTGGGCTCGTTTGGGGCAAAACAAGCAAGCCAGGTGGGCGAGAATGTAGAGTAAACATGAGAGGGGTGAGAGGAAGGAATGAGCATTTATATCATACCTACTGTATGTCAGGCACTGTGCTAAGCACTTTACAAATATTACCTCGTTTGATTTCCCCCTCCTTCCCCAGCAACCCATTTTGCAGTTGAGGAAACTAAGTCAAATAGAGGTCAAATGACTTGCCTGGGTTCAAATAGTATCTGATGCAAACTTAGGTCTTCCTGACTCCAGGCCCTAGCTGTTTCTGTGTACATGAAAGGGAAGTCTGTAACTTAAGGTAGGTATAGGATAGATTATAGACAGCCTTGAAATCCAGGCCATAGGCAGGTTTTAACCTCTCTGCTAAGGATTTTTAACCTGTCAGGGATCCCTTTGGCAATCTGGTGAAGCCTGTAGAGCCCTTCTCAGAATAATTTTTTAATGCATAAAATAAAATACATAGGATTACAAGGGAAGCCAATTATACTGAAATAAATATGAAATTGTTTTTTTCCCATCCAAATTCATGGACCACGTGAAATCTATCCAAAGACCCCTATGTTTAGAACCCCTGTTCTAAGTAATGAGGAACTACTGAAGGTGTTTATGCAAAGGGGAAGGCGACCTTGATCAAAGCATCAGAGACATCATGAGCACCAGTGAGGTCACTCTGGATTGGGGAGAGGAAAGACTGGGGACAAAGAAAGCAGTGAGGCAGTTACAACAGGCCAGGCAAGAGGGAAGGAGGGCTGGCCTTGGGAGGGTGCAGAGGCAATGGAAAAGAGGAAATGGATTCAAGAACTAATCATTGCACCTTGTACTTCTAGAGAGAGCACTTATAAATTTACAGAGTGCTTTCTTCACAGTGACCCTGTCAGGTGAGATTGTAGATCCAGCATTGTAAAGGACCCTGTAGAGGGTGTCTAACCTATTCCCTCATTTAACAGATGAGGAAACTGAGGCTAAGAGACGTGTGATTCCCTAGACCACGCAGGCAGTAAGTGGAAGAAATGGGACCGGAGTGGAGGTCATCTGATTCCAGATGGGGAGCGTTTCCCACTGACCCACATGCAGTACAAGTGTTAGGAGCCTCCCACATCAGGCAAGAACCCAGGCCTCAGAGCTGATGTGATTGGCCCACCACAGGGCAGAAACAGGACTTTCCAGCACTTTTTCACTATGATGATCAACATCTAGGGTTAGGCTGTATGACCCTTTAATAAAGTGCTAAAGTTGAAGGAGACTTTATAGACATTATTAGTCCAGGCTTCTTATTTTATACCTGAGGAGCCTGAGGCTCAGCCAAGGAAACTGATTTACCTGTCCAACCCAATCCAATCCAGGAAGCATTTATTAAGCACCAGCTATGTACAAGGCCCTGTCCTAGGTGCCAGGAACACAGAGACAAGGGATGAAACAATCCTAATTCTCATGGAGTTTGCATTCTACTGAAAATCTACAGCTCGTAAAGAGAGAACTATGTATGATTGTTTGAGGAAGGAAAAGGTGCTTGTATGGGTAAGAAATCAAGAAAGGCTTCCTGTAGGAGGTGGCACATTAACTGAACCTTCAAGGGAGTCAGGTGACATAGGTCATTAGTAACAGACAGAGGATCTGAAGCCAGGACTTCTGCTCCCCTATCAAATGCTCTTTCCATAATGACAGGCTGGCCCCTCTAATTCATATTAGTGTCTTTAGAAACATGGTCTTTGGGGAAGGGGACAACCTCAGCCCAGTTAAAAAACAAAAACCAAAACCACCACCTGCTGATAAGGGGCCCACAGGCTGCCTGAGATATGTGCTCTCTGAATACCTAATGGCCCCAGGCGGGCATCAGACATCAGGAGGCTGCCATGACAAACAAGGCTGGAGGAATCTGTTTCCTTCCTGTAGATGTTTCTGTGGCCTCCCTATATCAGAAGAGGGTGGCTGGGGAGAGAGGGCTCCAGCACAAGGCCTGGTTTGTTTCCCACCTCCCTCGTCTGCCCTGCCAAGGGCCCAGTGAATCTGCATGTCTAGCCCCAGTGTATTTCCACCTTCCCACAACTTGTAATGTGCTCAGGAGGAATTCAGAAGAGAATGAGAGGCAGGGGTGGAAAAAGAGAAAAAGGGAGTGGGCCAACCCCTCCATTCCCCCAAGGACTTGGACCTCTATGCACCAAGAGCTTCCTCCCCTTAGGAGAGGGTCTAGAACAAGGGTGGGGAACTTGTGGCCTCAAAGCCACATATGGCCCTCTAGGTGCTCAAGTGCAGGGCCTTTGACTGAATCCCAACTTAATGCCCTTAATAAAAGGATTTATTCTGTAAAACTTGGACTCAGTCATCCAAAGACCTAGAAGGCCAAGTGTGGCCTTGAGGGCTCAGGTTCCCCACCCCTGGTCTAGGAGTTTGAATCATTGCTTACTAGCTGTGAGGCTTTGGGCAGGTCATCTGATTTCTCTGAACCTCGAGTTCCTTATCTGCAAAGTGAAGAGATTGTATTATATCGCTTCTATTTAAACTACCTGTGCTATGGTGCCTTTGTGAGGATCAAATGATACCATATTCATAAAGTGCTTAACAGTTGTAAATTGCTCTATAAGTGTGAGTTGTTATCATTGCTAGTATTTTCTTACCTCTGCCTCATAGAATGCCTTATTGCCGTCAAGACTCAACTCAAGCAGTACCTTTTACATGATCTCCCCTCAACTTTCCTGATCTCCCCTCAACTTCTAACGCCCTAAACTGCCTTTATTTTGTATTTATTTGGTATTTATTCTGACTATATTTATATGTGTGCAAGTTGCCTCCCCCTTCCAAAGAAATGTAAGCCCCTTGAGAACAGGGACTTTTTGGGGGGAGGCGAGGCAATTGGCGTTAAGTGACTTGTTAAGGGTCACACAGCCTAGTGTCAAGTGTCTGAAGCCGGATTTGAACTTAGGTCCTCCTGACTCCAGGGCTAGTGCTGTACCCACTGGAGAGCAGGATCTCTTTAGTTTTTGTCTTATTATCTGCCTAGTATAGTGCCTGGCATACAGAAGATAATCTGACGTGTTTATTGGTTGATTATTGTTGCTATTATTCATAGAAAACACCCTCAAGGGAGTAACAGGGCTGGAGCAGCAAGAAACCAAGCTAGAAGGAAGGCACCTGGAACCCAACTCTGATGAGCAGGAGGAAGTGGGAGCTACAGATGAAGGAGGCCCCACCCCTGGCCCTCCTGCAAGCACTACCCCTCTTCCCACCACCATGGTTCCCACTACCACCACCACTACTACCAACAACCCTCTGGTCACCATACTGTCCATTGGATACAATGCTGCAGGCCCCAATGGGTCAGAAAGTCCTAACCAAGGTATGGCATCAGGCTTTAAAATGTCAGGGACGGTGGAATGAGCACTGAGATCTGGGTTCTAGTTCTATTTCTTCCATGAGTGATATGAGTGACAGGCAAGTCGCTTAATCTCTTTGTGCCTTATCTTCCTCTTCTGTAAATGAAGGAGCCAAAGCACATCATCTCTGAGGCCATTTGAGAGCTAGCACTCTTTTTTCTAAGATTCTGTGCCCAGGGTCCCTTCTAGTTCTAATATTCTAGATCTCTTGTATCTCTAACATAGGGGCTGCCTCCACTCTCATCCGAGTTGAACTAGAGGACCTCCAAGACACATTATTATATCTTATCATATTGTATTATATTATATTATATTATATTATATTATATTATATTATATTATATTATATTATATTATATTATATTATATTATATTATATTATATTATATTATATTATATTATATTAGATTAGATCATAATTGGGGGTGGGTATTTGGAAGTAACTTCGCACCAACTTTCTTACAGCTCTAACATTTTACATTCTCTGGTGGCCATTCCATGTTCTAAGACCCCTCCCAGATGTGACATTCTATGTTCTAAGATCCCTTCAAGCCAGGGGTGTGCTGGAGCCAGTTCCAACTGATTCACAAGAGCCTATGGTTAAATTTTCAGTGTGAGCATTTCCACCTTAGAAATCAGCAAACACTACAATTCAGGGCTTGATTTGTTGTTTTGTTGGCTGTCTAGACTTTAAGAAGTGATAAAGAAAATGTTAATAATGCAGATTAAACTCAAAAGTGTGTTGTATGTATTTTTTTCTTCTTCTAGAGAGCCAGTTGTTAAGCATTCACTAGCACACCCTGGACCCCAGCTCTAACATCTTGTATTCTTTGTCCTAATATTCTGTATTCTAAGCCCTCACAGATCTAACTTTCTATGAATCATCACTAAAAACTACATTATGCAACATCTATACAGAGCTATTATTCTTCACACACTATTATATGGTCTCATTTTCTCCATTCATCTATTCAGTAAGCATTTATTAAGAACCAATGTTGTAAAATGCATAGCGCTAAGCAATGACATCTCTGCCCTCAAACAACTTACATTCAACAAGGGGGGAACAACATATGTACAGATAAAAAACAATACAAAATATATTAAAAACAAAATAATTTGGCAGGCCCAGGGTACTAGCTGACATGCTCAATATGACCTAAGATGGGAAGTGGCCTTTGTGTTGAGTCTTGAAGGAAGCTTGGGATTCTAAGAGGCAAAGATTAGAAGGGAGAGCTTCCAGGTATGGAAAAGAGCCTTTTCAGAGGCACAGAGATGTAATGTCATATGCAGAAATAGTAAAGAGGCCAGTTTGGTGGGAATGTAGAATATGGAATGGAGGGATATGGAGTCAGTGTGGAGAGCTTTAGATGCCAAACAGAAGAGTTAGTAGTTATGCTCTAGGTGATAGAGAATCACTGAAGTTTATTGAGGAGAGGAGTGACATTGTCAGAATTTTGCTTGGGTCATAATTTGTCAGCTGTGTGGCAGATATATTTGGAGTGGAGACTTTCACAAAGAAAGCAGTCAGGAAGCTATTGCAGCAGTCCGGTGAGAAGTGAAGGGCCCTGAATTAGGTGGGAGACTTAACAAAACTTGGCAACTGATTGGGATATGGGGTGAGGGAGACAGAGGAGCTAAGGATTACCCTGAGGTTGCAAACCTGAGTGACTAGAAGGTTGGTGGTGCCCTGAAGAGAAATGAGGAAAGTCAGGTAAAGGGTGGGTTTGGAGTGAAAGGCAGTGCTGGCTTTGAGATGCCTATAGGACATCCTCTTGGGAAGGTCCAGTAGGCAGTCAGTGATGTGGGGTGGAACTCAGGAAGGAGACCAAGGCTAGAGAGAAAAACCTGGGCGTTGTCTATATAAAGATGGTAACTGATCCCAGGGGAGGTTATAAGTAAGGTCATCAAGAAAGAATATTGAATGGCAGAAGAGGGGACCCAGGACAGACAGAGCCTTGGAGTACATCCACAGTTAAAGTGTGGGATGGTGAATGAAAATAACAATTTGAAAGTCAAAGCACCTCTTCTCTGTAATTTGTTTTGTCATTGAATACTAGACAGTGAAGTCTGGAGAAGTGCCTTGCTAAGTCACACAGGTTGTGAGAGCCCTGGGACGTGCAGTATGTAGATCTATCTAACACTTAGGTGATAGAACACACAATAACAATAATGCAGAATAGAATGTGGATAAGAGAATGAGAGAAGGGCTAAGTGTAATGTGACTAAGGAGGATATGAGAGAAGGCTTCCTAGAAGTAACATTTTGGCTAGGCCTTCAAAGAGGATCTCAGTAGACAAAGATCATATCTGCAGTTCTTGGAGACCTTTAAGAACAGGTGTGACTGTTTTCTTTGAGCCAAAGGAGGGGATGATGCTGTCCAAAGGCAGGAGAAAGGCTGAGATGATCTGGGCTTACTAAGGATCGTTGAATTTAGAGCTGGAAATGATCATAGAGAGCATCTAGTCTAACCTGTTCATTTTACAGAGGAGGAAACTGAAGCTCACAGTGGCTTGCCCAAGGTCACATTGGTAGCAGGTCCTTTGACCTTCAGTTTTGTCCACAATCTCACACTTTTGTGATTTGGAAGCTTCATTAATGTATATCCTTTCTTCCTACAGTCAAAGAAGTGGGGTGTGAAGGCACCATCAAGTCTGTTGATCCTCCTGTGAAGCAGCACAGCTATGGACGGAATGAGGGAGCTTGGATGAAGGACCCTACAGCCCGAGATGACAAGATCTACGTCACCAACTACTACTATGGGAATAGTCTGGTGGAGTTCCGTAACCTGGACAATTTCCAACAAGGTTGGGAATCATAGGGGAAATTCTTGGAGAGGGACTGAGTCAAAAAGTGGAAACCCTTGGGCTTCCACTGGGTATATGGCAGGGACCAGTTTTTCAGAACCAGATTTCCCGAGGATGTGAGGAGTATTTATGGACGCCCATGGGACATATGATCTAGGGAAACCTGATAGTCTGTTTGGTAAGGGAGTAGTCCCTTCCCTTGACCTGACTGCTAGTAGTTAGGCATCTTTCCCCTGTCCCTGAAGTTTCCTCTCCTGTTCCATGTCTTTATGTTTATGAATTATAAAATAGCAGAATTCTAAGAGACCTCAAAATATAGAATATTAGAATATAGCAAATAGAATGTTAGGAGTGGTGGGGACTTTAGTACATAGAATGCTATGATATAAAGCCCAGAATGTCAAACCTAGAATGAGAGACCCTGAAGCAGAGACTGGTAGAAGAATTCCAGCATCTCAGAATCCATAAGGGACCTTAAAAGTCAATTAGTCCAGCTCCATACTTGGTCCATTTTGGGAAGTACACCCCATTCTGCCAGGGAAGCAGTTTGGTTATAGTTGAGATAACACTTGAGAATGGATTTTGTTGGATGTAATAACAGAACGCTATGATAAAAAGAGCACTGTAGTGGCATCTGTACAACTCACGTTTTATTCCAGGTTCTGTCAAAATCTTGCTCTCTGGGCCTCAGTTTTATACCTGTAAAATCGAGGCATGGACCTAAATGATGTCTAATGTCCCTTCTGGAGGGCAGCTAGGTAGCACAGGGGATAAAGCAGTAGGCTTAGAATCAGGAAGACTCATCTTTATGAGTTCAAATCTGCCCTCAGACACTAGCTATGTGACCCAAATCACTTAGGCCTTGTTGGCCTCAGTTTCCTCATCTGTAAAATGAACTGGAGAAGGAAATGGCAAACCACTCTAGTATCTTTGCCAAGAAAACCCCAAATAAAGTCACAGACAGTTGGACAAGACTGAAACAACTGAACAACAATGTGAATGGCCCTTCCAGCTCCGCCATTCTGTGTTCTGACATCTCTGATTCTAGCTCTCCTGTCTGGGATGGGGGCCTGGGTGCCAGCAAGGAAGATCTGCCCTTGTTTTTTAATTAGGAAAGACGACCTATATAAATGGGCCAAAAGGGCCCCCTGAGCATCAGGCTACAAGAGGTCAACTAGCTGCAGGGGGCAAGGAGGAGAGGGCTGGAATGTGCCTAATGCAGTCCATGTGTTTAAACAAGATAAAAGATCAGTGGGTGCTTTTCATGAGCTCAGGAGCTGAGAACCCTCCAGGATTTCCTGAGGTTGGATTGGTGCCCAGCAGAAACAGGACAGTGTTGGAACCTGAATGCAGGCTTACATAATCAAAGAGAAGATGCCAGAAATGGTTGGTTTTCATTGACATGGAAATGACATGCCAGGGGTTCAGAACCTGGGAGAAATCTCTGGGGCTGCCTCCATCCCTATAAACCTTCTGTGCTCTCTCCTTCGGGTTCCTTGACTCATAAGATGTTACAGTTGGAAGGGAACTTAGAACAGAGAATGTTAGAGCTGGAAGGGGTTTGGTACAATGGAGAGAACCCTGGATTTGGAGTCAGAAGACCTTGGTTCAGATCCTGGGTCTGCCATTTGCTACCTGTGTGACTTAAAGCAAGTCATTCTAACTTCTTGGGCCTTCATTTCCTTATCTTTAAAAGAATGAGCTGGACTACATAGCTGGGGTTCTTTTCTAGTTCTAATTCCTAGGACCCTACAACCTTGGGCAAGGCACTGGAGTACAATTGGAAGGGTCTTAGGAGCCATTTATTCTGCCCTCTTTGAGGATGCCAAAGACTAAGGAGGTTAGATAACTTGCCCAGGATTGAACAAGTGGTAGGCTTCAGAATCAGGATTTGAACCCAGATCCTTTAACTCCAAAGCCTGTGCTTTCATCTCCCTGCACCACATTATTTCCATTGAACCCATTGAGTCTTTTTTTTTCTTATCTGTAAAAGGATTGTTCTGAGGTCCCTTTCAGCTCCATTCTCTTATGATTTGCTGGGCTAGGTCCAAGAGCCCTGAAACATTTTTGGTGTGGGGGTCATTAACTGGACCTTCTAATCTCTCCTGCTCTCCCTCCAGGCCGCTGGAGTAACATGTATAAACTTCCGTATAACTGGATTGGGACGGGCCATGTGGTGTTCCAGGGCGCTTTCTATTACAACCGTGCCTTCACCAAAAATATCATCAAATATGATCTCCGGCAGCGCTATGTGGCAGCCTGGACCCTGCTCCCAGATGTGGTGTATGAGGACACTACCCCATGGAAGTGGCGAGGCCACTCTGACATTGACTTTGCCGTGGATGAGAGTGGGCTATGGGTCATTTACCCGTCAGTGGATGAGGGTGGCTTCTCCCAGCAGGAGGTGATTGTGCTGAGCCGGCTGGACCCTGGTGACCTGTCTGTGAGGCGGGAGACCACCTGGAAAACCCGCCTGAGGCGCAACTCCTACGGGAATTGCTTTCTAGTCTGTGGGATCCTGTACGCAGTGGATGTCTACAATCAGAGGGAGGGGCAGATCTCCTATGCCTTCGACACTCACACCAACACTGATGCCTACCCCAAGCTGCCTTTCCTCAATGAGCACTCCTTCACCACCCAGATCGACTACAATCCCAAGGAGAGGGTCCTCTATGCCTGGGACAATGGCCACCAGGTTACCTACACCCTCCATTTTGTGGTCTGAGGGAAGCAGGGGTCCTCTCTCCCACCACAGTGGGAAGCACTTTTTGGCCACCACCACCCCCCAGGCATAAAGAAAGAGGCCACAGGTGAACAGTGCTCCCCTCTGAGATTACTCATGATAGCCCCCATGCTCACAGAGCAGGGGTGTATTGGAACATTTCTGGGGCGGCCCAGACTGGAGTGGTGTTACTGGAGGCAGGGAGAGAGAGACAGAGCAGAGAGAGGGGCATACTTTATAGAAGGCTTGGAATAGGCTTCACCTATCCCTAAAAGCTTTCTCAAGCTAGACCCCCATCCTCTCTCTGTCCTTTCCTCTTTCTCCCTTCTATGGTCTCTTCATTCTTGAAATAAAATTCAGTTGCCCTTGTGTTCCCATGGAACTTCCTGCAGCCAGAACCAGAAGACAGGCCACTATAGCATGGAGAATGAGAGAATCCTAGAACCTCTGGGTTGAAAGGAACCTTTGAGGTTGTCTAGTCCAAACTGACCCTTTACTGAGAGGCCTCTGAGGACTGAAATATGTTGCCCTCTTTAATGGAAATCAAGGGTCAACATAATTTCCTACCAGAATAAATGCATGTGACTACATAATATAGAAAGATTACATATATAACACAGTACTTCAAAGACCTGAGATGCTCTTGGCATGGCTGCTCTTTCTCCCAGTACAGGTTCTAACTAGCACCAGGCCCCCACCCCCAAGTGAGTGGTTTCGTGGGTTTCTGGAGCCAAAAAAATTCATCCCTGGCAGCCATCCTTCTATGGAGGAGCCCTTTGCACTTTGCTAGGCTGGCAGGGCTCCGTGTCTCTACCAGAACGTGGCTTCACTGGCATGGCCTAGGAGAACCAGGGGTCCCATCTAGACTGTGAGGACGTATCAGTGTTTTGAAAAAAACATCAGTGAGGTTACAACTATATATGTGTATATGTTTGTGTGTACCAAATACATATATGTATATATACACAGGTATATGCATGGTATACATATGTGTGCCTGCTTGTATATACATACATGTACACATATACCTGTATGTGCATGTGTGTGTGCATAGCTTAATGGCAAAACAGAGGTAGTGAGAAAGCATTATTGGTTTGTCTTTTTCTCCCTGTTTGTCTACCCAAGAAACAGTCATTTCCCTGGGTTTAATTTAATTTAATTTGGTGCAGTATAGCTTAGTGGAAAGAACACTAATTATGGAATAAGAAAAGCCTAAGTCTCACAAATGACTCTGATGCTTGATCCGTGAAAGATCTTGGGCAAATCAAGTCCCCTCTCTTCTCTTGGGGCTTCCATTTCCTCTTCTATGGAATTGAACTAGAGAACCTCTAAGTTTTGTCACAGCTCTAAATCTATGATCTATTGAACTGGGAAGAAAGGTCTGGACTAGGTGCAAGGGGGATCTGGTCTTGCCTCAGCTGGGGGTCCTGGGTTCAAATCCTGACTTTGCAAGTGACTGCCAGTGCCAGCTTGGACAAATCCCTTCGCGTCTGCCAGTTTCAGTTTCCTTCTTTGTGAAAATGAGGGAATCAGATTAGATGACTTCTCAAGTCCCTTCCAACTTTAAATCCTGTGGTCTATGGACTTATTCCAGTTCAACAAATATTAAGTGTCTTCTGTATGCAAGAGAGCCCTGGTTTAGGGGACATTTTCCATTGCTTGGTAAACCTGGGCTGTATTTAGCCTCAGGCCTCTGCAGGCTGCTCTGATCCAAATTCAGGCCTGTGACTTCCTCATCTCTTGGGATGCTGTTGTATATTGTCCGACACACATTCCATCCCTCCACAGTCACCCACGAGCCGGCCTGAAATCAAATACCAAGAAAACATGAGAACTTGTTCCAAGGTCCTCTCCCTTTCTTCTACACTGATTTTTCTTTTGTAATTCATAAATGTTGTCATCTATTTCTGCAGTTGGGGCCCAAGAATGCCGTAAGTGACTGTGTGCCAGGAAATATCGGGAGGGGAGCACTGTTTCCATCAGCTCGTCCACCTCCTCTCCACCCCCCCCCCCAATTCTGGCCCAGCCTGAGGCTCCTTCCCACTGCAGAAATGCTTGCTTTGGCCAAATGCCTGATATCTTTGCCCTCCACCCCACTCCCCACCCCAACTCCCATCTTGGTATCATGCAATAGATGATTTTGGCAGCTTTCACCGTGTCCCCAAACTGAGGTTCCCAGAGTGCACCTGCTAAAGGCGTATCATCCCTTGTGTATGACCTTTAACAAATCATTTCTCTAGGCCCCAGTTTCCTCATCTGTAAAACAGGAGACTTGTTCAATGTGATCTCTAAAGTCCCTTCTAGCTCTGAATCCTATCACAACGGGCATTTTAAACATACTTCCTACACACTCAGGGAAACTTTCATCAGACTAATCACTTGTCCCAAACCATACTGCGAATCACCCCCTTTGCTATTTGCCAGGCTATGGAATTCAGTATTGTTCTGAATATAGGCTGACCCTTCCCCAAATATTAAAATTAGACATTTTTGGAAGAAGAAAGAACAATGAAAAATGGGTAGAAGTTATAGAAACAGCTCAATAGAAGGGAAACTTCTTACCAGTTAGAAATAGCTAAGAGTGGAATGGGCTGCTTTTAGAGGTCATGAGGGCCTCATTGCTAGAGGGCTTCTAGTAAAGGCCAGTTGTCAGGGATACAGCACAAAGGATTCCTGCTCAGCTACCTGTGACATTCAAGGATCCTTCCGGCTCTGAAATTCTGTAATTTAGTGGAGGAGCTTGGTATAGGACTGGACTCTAGATTAAAGAAGTCCACTTGGCTTCCTGGCTCTGCTGTTTGTGACCTTGGGCAGAATCATTTGACCTCTTTGGGCCTTGGTTCCTCATCTGTCAAATGAGGGGAATATCTAAGGTCCCTTTCAGCTCTAAGATTTGTGATCCTTAGGCTGAACAGCGGTACCCATTATGGGCTGCACTGGGAGTTGTTTCAAAGGGGAGGGTGGGAATGGCACGGCCTATACTCAGAGCAGCGTTGTGCGTGCAAAGAGCAGCTTTTTCCATCCTTCCTTTTGAACCCCCACCCTAGTTCTGCTGGATCCAGTTCAAACTGTCAGCACTGGGACATCCTATGTAACTCGTATCTCAATGGCTGGGGGCCCAGACAGCAGGAGTCCTGAGCTCTTCTGGCCTGGGAGGAGCTTCGTATGTGGTTTGTGGCTGGCAAAGGCTTTCCGAAGGAGAGAGGAGACCTATTACTGACCGGAGACAGAAAGAAAAAATCGGGGAAAGTCGTGGGGAAGAAGGGGCCAGGCTTTTCTGAAAGCATACAAGCCCTGAAGGCTCTCTTTCGATGGGAGAAGAACAGTCAGGTCTGAATGAAGCCACAGGGTGGGGAGTGCAAATAGTCTTGGACTGGGAATGGAGGCACCTGAATTTGAGTGCTGAGGCTGCTACTAACGCACTGTGTAACCTTGAACAAGCCACTAACCTTCTAATTTTTTGTCCTCTTTAATTGGAGGATTAGATCATCTTTAAAGTCCTCTTTAATTTTAATATTTTATGTTTTATGATCCAGTGTTACATGTTCTAATAATCTGGTTCCTTCTAGTTGTCATGTTCTATGTTCTAGGACAGAGGTGGGGAATCTTCAGCCTCAAGGCCACATGTGGCTTTCTAAGTCCTCAAGTGCATCTCTTTGACTGAATCCAAACTTCACAGAACAAATCCCCTTAATAAAAGGACTTGTTCTGTAAAACTTGGACTCAGTCAAAAGGACGCGCCTGAGGACCTAGAGGGCCACATGTGGTCTTGAGGCCACAGGTTCCCCACCCTTGTATCTAGGAGCTCTAACATGCTGATATGAAATCTTGGCATGAAATCTCTCTTACATATCCCCTTCTCTGCACTCGCACAGTTACCACTCTAGCTCAGGCCCTAATCACCTGTTGCCTGGAGAATTGCAATAATGTATTATTCCTCCTTGCCTTCACTCTCTCCCCAGCCACCAAAAGTGGTTTTCCTAAAGCTCAAATCTGGCCTTGTCATTTTTCCCCCTATGCCCTCCCCCTTCCCTTACCCTGCAGTAAACTCCGGTGATTCCCTATTAGCACGCGGAGGAAATATAAATTACACTAAGTTGAATTTGGGCATCCAGGTGGTGCAGTGGATAGAGTAGTGGGCCTGGAGTCAGGAAAACCTGAGTTCAAATCCAGCCTCAGACGCTTACTAACTGTGGGACCCTGGGCAAGTCACTTAATCCTGTTTTGCTCAGTTTCCTCATCTATAAAATGAGACAGAGAAGGAAATGGCAAACCACTCCAGGATCTTTGCCAAGAAAACCCCAAATGGGGGTTGAGAAGTCAGACATGACTCAACAGCAAAATCTGCATTTACAGCTAGTCCCTTCCTTCCTTATATTGGCCTCTGTGCTCTTTATAACAACTGGCTTGCTTGCTTTTCCTTGCTCACAACACTCCATCTCTGTGGCTCTGGAATGCTGTCTCTCAGTGCTGCCTCCTAGCTTCCTTCCATCAAGACTCAGCTCCAATTGGACTGTCTGCCAGAGGCTTTTCCTGGCCCCCTCAGCCGCTTGTGCCTTCCCCTCTGAGATTACCTTCCATCTACTCTGTATATACCTTGTACATATCTAGTTACTGGCACGTCTCCCCCTTTAGAATATATGTTCCTCGAAGGCAGGGACTTGTTTTGCCTGGCATGTAGTAAGTGCTTAATAAATGCTTCTTGACTGACTGTCTGATATGCTACAATTCTGTCTTCTAGGTCTCATCCATCCCTGACATTCTATATATATATATATTCAGAGGTCATTCCGGCTCTAATATTGTTCATTCTAAGGACCCCATTAGCTCCTTGCATTCTCAAGGTGACATCCATCCCAGTGGTTGGGGCCCTTGACACCAGTGGGCCCAGGATAGTCAGGCATGGTTTCTGCCCCTGACATGACACCAACCCCACTGCTTGTTGTGAAGGAGTGTGTATAGCCATTCTTAACCTGCCTCTCAGATAGGCAAAAGTATTTCCTACAATTTCCCTCACAATATGGCCTTCTTTTAGGAATCTCTTTGTGGCCTTATCTTCCTCCCACCTGACTCTCTGCAGGAAGGTGTGAACTTCATGGTATCTCCCCTCTTCCAGTCCTTCAGCAGACCCATCTTAACGTCTGTTTGAAGACGGGTCCACTTCTCCCAATCTGGAAGCCCATTTCCTTGTGAGTACAGCTTCTCATATAGAGAATGGTGGAGAATATAGCTAGATGTCACAGAATTATTAACTCTGGGATCAGGAAGGAGTTGTGTTTACATATAGTCATCAAAAAAACTTTAGAGGTGGAAGAGACCATGAGTGTCTGCTTTGGGGGATGGAGGACCTAGATTCAAATCCTGACTTTTC